AGTTTCACTGGTAACTGACAACCTCAGGAATATACATGTTTTTTAACGAAAAGGAGAAGAATTTTCGGAGGAAATAGTAAGATAGCTCCAGCAGTTGTCGGAGATCAAAATGGGAAAATTGATGATGCGAAATAATTTGGTATGGTACTGAGAAATGTTGTATGTACGCATGGTATTTTTCAGGGAGGGAGAGAAGACTGTACGCAAAGTAAAGTAAGTTAACCGTCATTCCAACTGTTCAGCTGTGTGCGGTAAGAGGAGAAGCTGATTTCGATGAGGGGATTTGTTCAGAGTGAACATAAGCGTGGAAGATCATGGTAGGTTTTCGGAAGGTGTTATCAAATGGATTCAGTCCAGAAGCAGAAGGATTAAATCAACATTGATTTCGCTGAGCACGTAACACAGCAGCTCGTACCTAGGGGAGGGGTCCAGGGGAAAAGATAAGTAGAAGATAATTAGCATTGCAGAACAAACGCAAAATAATTTGCTCGAGAGGAACTCTTGGGCACATTTCCGTCTTGGTGAGTGTGAACTTCATTGTTAATCAGGATATCTTTGCCTTTAGAAAACACGTTATTGCTACTGATAAATTTGGGGAGGGCAGTAAGATCGGGCAACAGGAGAATAAAAAGATCCCCTGATATTAATACTATATCCATCTTGCTCCTATTTCGTATGGGGATTCACTTGTCAAGGTAGGTTGCAATATACCGATCGCTGTTTCGACGTTTAGAAAGGAATGTATAACGTGTCGGAACTTCATCCCTGACTGGATTGCACGTATCTCAGATGGAAGCCTGTTCCACAATATGGAGTATCGATTTAGGAAAAAGTTGTCAGACAGTTTCGTTCGTGATCTTTTCACTTTTACTTTATTGTGATTGTTATTTCGGGTGCGATAATTTGATAATTCTGCTCGTTGTACCGATGGGCGTGAAGAATGTATTTTTGGGTAATTGTGTCAAAGAAGATGAAAAGGTTAAGTTTCATTCTACGCAGCCACAGTGGATCAAGTTTTAAGGCAACGCAACGATCCATGTAAGATAGGGTGGTGGAATAGCCTAGAAGACGCTTAGTAAATGATCGTTGAACACGTTCCAATGCCATACGATCACTCACTCTAGAATTACAGTAGGTGATGGAGCCATATTCAAGCAGCGGGCGCGTTTTTATTCTATACATGGTGTTAATGGATTCTTTTAAGTTAAATGTTTTGAACAAAAGCCCAATGCTTCGGCGAGCTTGAGCTGCGGTGTGTCCTGCGTGTTCGGAAAAGTTAAGGGTGCTCGAGTAGTGGATCCCTAGGTCACGGATGGTGTGGCAGTGAGACAATGGTTTACCATCTATAGTTAGCGAACCTGGTGTGATGTCACATCTGTAGGATACCACGTGGCATTTATCAGTAGAGAATGTCATCATCCATTTGGAACTCCATGAGTCTAGTGTACGTAAGTCACGCTGGATTTCGCTAAGCGTATCACTGACCTCAGTTGGATTAAAAGTGTAAACAATTTTGATGTCATCGGCAAACAGGAAAGGTTTGCCGGAAGCAAAGAAATCAAAAATATCATTTACGTAAAGTAGGAATAAAAAGGGTCCCAGAACACTACCATGTATCACACCACTGGTGACAGGCTTTGGCGTGCTTGTTTCGTGCTCGATCTGAACAACCTGGGTTCTATTAGTTAGGTAAGAATCAAATCATGAAAGCAGAGGGTTGTCTATGCCATATGCAGTTAGTTTGGATAAGAGGTGGTTATGAGGGACACGATCAAATGCTTTGTGCATATCTAGGTAGATGACTATCGCTGATGAACCGTCATCGAGCGAAGTAGTCAGGAGACTGAGAAAGTCTATCTGACATGTTATGCAGGATCGCGTGCTTAGGAAGCCGTGTTGTGAGGTGTTGATAAGATTTCGCGACATCATGAAGTCCACAGTTTTGGACTTTATGTGACGCTCTATCATTTTTGAGAGGATAGAAGTATGGCTTATTGGGCGGTAGTTGCTCATTTCATGCACAGAGCCTGACTTGTAGCGAGGAATGACTACAGCCGTCTTCCACTGTGATGGCACGGTACCGGTGTTCATGGATAGAGAAAAAAGATTCAAAAGTAATACAGGGAAGTCAGATCCACCGTATTTTATAAGTGTTGGTGGTAATTTATCAGATCCGGCATACCATGATGACTTCGTAGAGGTGATAAGCCGATTTATATCACGAAGTTCAAAATCAACTGTGCAGATCTTGTCATCAGTAAGCAGAGGGATAATGTGCGACGGAGCCGCAGCAGCGGTGTTAAAAGTGGAACAAAAGTAATTATTGAAATCCCTGCTTATTTTAGCTGGATTGTTAGTTATTTGGTTACCAGAAATCAGGATGGATGGGGTTTCTGTATTCTTGTTTCTATATTTCATCAGCTTGGTGAGTTCTAGGTTTTTATTCATGCTTCGGATACATTCGAGGGTTGAAGCTCCGGGACACCATGAATGAATACCGATCTTTCGTTCTCCAGCTGGTGGTGGTCATCCGGGTTCTGTTTTCTTCGCTGGCGTTCCATCCAAGGGATGTGCGGCAATATAAGAACACTGCATGATGTAGTCCGAAGACGAGTGGCTGACAGGAGAAAAGGGATTGCGTGTAGTATACCACACTTCCCAGAATTCCCTAGCTTGCATTGAATTTCCACGAGCTAGGGTCTTTAAGTTAGCTAGGTCGAAGTAGTGGCCTTCTCGTCTGTATGCATGGAAACCAGTGAATATGCCTCGGGTCTTCGTATGGCCATTTTGTGTTTTCGCTTATTAGAGTTGAAACTATCGTTCCAGTTTGTAAGGTGTAGTGTTTGTCACATTCGTTGTAGTTTACAGTGTTGGCCCACTTCTTATAAATTCATAACAGTTAGACTGCGTTTAATTTTTTTAGTTCATTTTTCCTAGTTTATCTTGGTTACAGTGCCTGTTTTAATTACTAATCTCAAAGTTATAGTAACCAAGGAAAAGATAGTTTGCAACAGGATAAATAAGTATTTCTGACACATATTTTGTGTTAATGTTCAATATTTTATATGCGGATGACAAATTGATCGATGTTACGCGTGCAGTCGTTATGTAAACCATAGGTTACATTTTTATTTTAATTTGTTATATCCTACTGCATTTCACGTTTCTGTCTTAAATTTGTCCGGTTTTTGATCAGTTCACTTTAGATATTCGACCTTTCTCCATTTTTGGTGTCGAGTCTCAAGTTGAGCAGTTGTAACATTCATCTGCAATATCTTTTGCTGTCAGCTCTGGTACCATTTGACACTCTTCTTGAAGGTTCAATTGTGCCAGCAACTCAGTCAATTGCCGCCGTGATTCTTCAAACATTGGTTGTTGGAGCTGAAGGAGCGTCTGCGTTTGCTCAGAAGAGATGGCTGTAAACTGGCGCGACAGTGTTCTTGCGAGCGTCTCGATCATACGCAGCTGTGCGGCTTTGAACAGCTGCTAATGTAGCAAAATAGTTTTCAGTTTTTCTGCTGAGCTAAACATCTTGATTAAGTTTACCTCTCATCGCCAGAAATCCGTTGTTGTTTCCGCTGATATTACGGATAACCTGCCTGAATCAGTTGTACCGCCCCCAACCTGTTCATCCCGCAACGAAATGAGAACGCCAAGACCAGCCGGATCGAGGGATTTGGGTTGTGTGAGAGCACAGCGCAACAAATAAGTTGAAGGTAACTAATAACACAAAAATCTTGGAGATGCTAATTAAGATCAATTAATACAACTCGAAGGGTTCAAGTTCATGGTTCAGCTTGCTGCTGACCACACATAGATTCGCGTCTGATCTCTGCTTGCGTTCGATCCAATGTTGCGCCACGGTTCACGGCTGGTATCTTGACCGTAAGCTGACTTTTCGTAACCGAAACTACAGGTTCCAACTTCAGAAGTTTACGATGACCATGGTAGCTGAGTGCGGAGGGCTTCATTTGCAACTGTGAACGACTGCTTCTGCTTTTCCATTACTGTTCTATCCGTTTCCCTCAGATCACTGACCCCCACTAAGCAGTATTTTAAGAGGTTTTGTGCAGGTTATATAAAGAGTCAGCCTCGCTTCCTTATGCTTCTTGGATCCAGGGAAAGTTAATGAGGGTATGGATTTGCCAACGTTTAATGAGTTCCGTATGTGAGTAAGCTCACTGTAATGTTATTTCCGCCGATTGATGGCCTACTACTGCGATCTATGATACACATGCCTCTCGTGAAGAACATGCTTGTTCCGTATGCCTCGCACTTCTCCTAGCTCGACTCGTAGTGGTGCACTATTTGACACAAAAGCAAACCTTATTACATTTATATCGTTGGCGTGCAGACTTTAATGGACCGTAGTTGTTTGCTTACATACATCGGTCGTTTGATAACCTTCCACACTGTCTGACCTAACACATTGTGATATTCCTGTAATAGACAGCGCTAACTTCAATTGTGTTGTGCCCATTCTGCCTTATGGCCCAACTGCGCCCCAAAGTTTGTCACAAATCGTATCTCTAGACGTTTGTATTTCACTTTACAATTTCCAATTTTCTTGCTCATTGTGGTGTGATATCAATGGTGCTAAATTTCCACGTCACACTGCTGCAATGAACAATCATCGGAAAAAACTACTCCATCTTGTTTTCTTTCTCATTATCATTTGTTCGTAAAAATCATATGTTGAACTGATAATACATGCAGCCATCCATTTCTCCTAAACATACTATGAGAAACGGTAAACTTAAATTATTTCAAAACTAAGTACATACAGTTTGCTGGAAATGAATTTGTAATCGTCTGTCCTCGTCACTCAATAAACGGAACATTCTTAATCGGTAAAATATCTGACTTGGTACAGACACTAGGTGTACCATAATTCACATTCCATATATATAATATATATATTATATATATATATATATATATATATATATATATATAACACAAACCCGTAAAACCTATCTGGACAACCCTGGTGACTGTGTGTTTTGAATCCACATTTCCTCACTAGTTCTTCAGTTCTATTTGAAGGACACGAATGGTTATTGACGGCCTAAACCACCGTGAACGCTGTCCACTCTGGTTTTATCATATGCTAAAAGGAGCATGCTTATCGATTTGGCAATTTAACGCGCGCTGTTTAGAAACAATGCGTTGCATTTATCGCTTAATTTAGACCACCCACGGATACTCCATGTTGTCGCTGATGCCTGTGTGAGCATGTCAGTTAAAACACCCTGTAAGCTCCCTTATTAGCACTGCCACTTTTCCTTTCAATTCTAGTCTGGGTGATATCTGATCAGAAGTAAGTCCTAGTTTTGTTTTCAAACCTAAGTTTACTAACCGCACGTTTTGTAAGATTACTGCACGATACTGGAATACGAAAATTTACCGTAAGGTAAATATTTTATGGGTGAAATGGGCTTTGAAACTAACAAGTGTAAACAGATTTAAATTGAGGAAGGACTTGCTTGTGTGCAACAAATCGCATGGTGGCTTGAATATTTGGTACATTCATTGAGTCTAAGTTGCATATATTCTTTTCTTTATTTGAATCGACTCAAGAAATTATACCGACTTTAATCAAAATCCGTTCAGGCGCAGCACAGTGAAAACTGAAGAAAATAAACGCATCAAATATTTAAGTGTCACCATTACGTAGTATTCATTTGGGTGTGGCTGTTCAAAGTTGATATTAACAACGGGTGCATTTTCATATATTTCAATATTTAACTTCACACGAAATCATTCTGAGTGAAAGATGGAAGACAGCTGATTAACAGATGCGGCTGCGCATATAAGATATGTGCCATTTCCCGGACAAACAAACGCATCTGACAGTCTCAAACGGCTAAAGGATCAAAAGTTTCCTAATCTGCCAAGCACAGTATGCACATAACACATTGAAAAGCTTCAACATGTCAATCAGCACATTTTCGCTTTTCAAGGCTGATGAATAGAAAGTAAGGAATTCGCATCACTTTACGTATGCGGCCATTTCCAAAAAGTTATAAAATGCCCCATTAGAGTTGCAATCCCTACATTCCAGTTTGACATATTCGTGATCACTAGTGTTTGTATACAATGCGCTGCTCAGCCAGCTGGGTGATATTCATGCGTGAATTAAAAATTACACTCCTGAGCACATGATAACTCCCAACTTACGAAGCTTCCGTCAGATTCAGAATGACACATCAGAGATTGCCGTGTCTAAATGTCTTGTTAGATGTGTGTATTTAATGTTCTCATCACATCAGATGTAATTACGACATCTATGTATTGAGGATCTTTTAAATACGAAGAAAAACATAGTATTTGGCTTCCATTGCTGAGACTATGAAGCTTTATTCTAAAAAAATAACATCAGAGAGGGTAATTATAGGTCATCTCTGAGTAAGAAGTGAGAAAATATACACGGTTACTTGAAATTTGAACATGCATACAGCCAGATTTTAACATTCGGATTCACGAGTGTTAGCCGCTGGTAGCTGCGGTGCTGTGGTGCAATCAAGTGAATTAAATCAATTTGAATCAGCATGTTACAACTGGATTGAGACATCAAACTCCCAACATTTTTGGGCAGGCAGATGAGATTTCAGTCTAGCAGTTTCAGAGCACCTACTACACAATTGTTAAAGATTTCTGCAAGAAATCACAACCAATTCAATATGTGGATCACATGTCGTACATATAGATGGAAAGAACCAAGGAAACGTCAACCGGATATCACATACATACGAAAGGTTTCTTTAGATACGGCTTTCGACATGAGACTTGAAGCTGCGGAATACAGCTTTCATATGTGTGAATATGAGATGGTGGCGTTTTGCCAAACGATCTCCGTTTTTGGCAATACACGGAATGCGATTTATCTATCCTGGCTGTAGTTCTGTTTGCTCTCCTTTTCTTTCAAATGTTAGGGTGATTGAGTAGTCTGCGTCTTTCAGTTTGCGTTCCAGACAATAAGTTAATCCTAGTGGATCTGCGTAGTAATTGCTTGTAGCACTAGTTTGATGGTTACTCACTAGCCATTTATTTGGATAGTGTCTCAGAACCGCATTTTGCCTAGACTGAGCCAGTTTCTCAATTAGAATGAGATACTTGTCTCTAAACGTCATGCAATGTAATAATTTTCGTCTTCCAGAACCTCATATAAAGCATTTGAAAGGAAATTACATTTACTGAACTATACATTTGCGGCACTGAGCTTTAGATTTTATGCCACGCGCAAAAAATGTGTCATTCATTACAATTCTACTTATCTTCATCTGCAATTAGAACCCCGTTGTCAGTAGTATTCTACCGTTTATCTGATTGCATTCAAACTACCGTGGGAACAAGCTGGTTGCAGTTCACTTCTAACTGTATTCCTTGGCGCAAGCAAACATTCAACCATGTGGCTTTGATGGAAAGCATCGTAAGAAAAAGAGCGCGAGGAAGCGTGCTGTTGACGGTACTTGTCGTGTCGATTTTGGAATGAGTTCTTACGGAGCCGGATTGGTGTTACCCAGATCGACTAACCAATATGTGTTCTTTATAACATTCTGCGATTGCATTGGAGTTATCCGTCCAGTCGCGAATTCCGAAGGCTTTCCTGCCCAAGACGTATGTTGGTCATAATAGGCGGAGGGGGTTAAAATGCAAAACCGATACTTCGTAGGCTGCTGGATAGCTTCATCACAACCATCTAGTAACAGTCGGAGCTGGATGGAGCGTGCACCTGACATACACTGCGTGGCGGCCTAGACGGCGTTCTGACAACTGTATACGCAGGACCGAGCATGAAATGACTAGAAGAATGACGTTAAAACGCGCAGGCGAAAGCTGTTCTAACGACACCGAAGACGAAATAGGCAGTAGAGATGAAGAGTAAATAACAATGGTATGCTAGGCTAAGCCCGATGGCATCTTAGCATTTGGCTTGGAACAAAGACTGGCAGGCTACCGAAACCGATGCATTCTGTTTGATCGGGCGAGTAGTGGTTATTTTACTTAACTGCTGTAGAGTGATGGTTGGTTGATTATATTTCGCACATTTCAGACGGCGATTTTATATACCAAATAAACGTGTATACACAACATTCCAAACTTGTATTCTCGCATTTGCTGAAGCTCTAATAAACTTGTTCAGATTTTGTCCATGTTGATTACTGTGATTGCGTCAAAATGACTGCTCTCATAATACGCACGACTGGATGATGGGTTTCCACTAACTGAGGTTAAATCCTGATGCTCTACTGGACTAGCTTTGGCTTATCTGCACAGGACAACATTATACACACGCGCGAATGAAGTTTCGCGCTTACACACTGAATGATGGATTAGTTAGCAATTCCATGTTAGGTTAAGGACATTTGCTGTTATAGGACGAGCGGTGCTCAAAATCCTGCTCGATGTTGATTATCAATGTTGTTCTAATGTTTGTATGGAGAATACGGAGATTGGAATGGGAGCAGGTTGGAGGTATCATCGCCTTACCACACCATATGGTTTGCAGTGACTAAAGGAATCATAGCATGAAAACGGACGAGGAATGTTTGTTATGTGTCGCAAGTGCCATTGACCGGAAGCAAAATTAGGTCAGAGATGGTAGGTTAAGATAGCATCTTGTTGGTCTTGTTTTCATCCGACCTACTTGAAGGTTTATAAACAACGGGTTGCCACTTCCGTATGCAGTGAGATTTTCACCTCAATCCGTGCGATTGTTACACAGTGTCTATGCATGGAAAATGATGTTTGACATCCGGTCGTAAAATAAAATAGCTCAACACTGGAAGTGGAAGCTGTACGATTTAAAATAGACAGTCAGCCCTTAAATTTTCAATAAGATTGTTCTAGGGGGTGGGAAAGCAAATGCCATGTTATATTTGTGTTCATTCATAATATCAAGAACGGTTAGATGTATACAATCCAAAGCTAATTCAACCGGTTTTATCAAAGTGTACAGGTAGAGCATGCGAACTCCCAACGATATCTTCCTCAATGGGCAGTCAATTATTAAACCATGCAATTTTTTTGGAAATTAAAACCATTATTTCGTTGACAAGCACAATTGCCTGAAAATCTGTGAGATGTGTTATGCACTATTTTGAAATCCTTGCATTTTCAAGCGATTCATAAAATTGTGCAGATTTAAATAAGGTAAATTAAGAGATATATTTAGGCTAATGCTCTGGGCCTGGTTTCTTATTTGCAAACAATCTATGCTGGTTTCCCTTGACGCTACTTGCTTACTGTTATAGAACCACCAAAATGTTATAAGTTTACTGTTTCCATACCTTCCTTTTTCTTCAATTTATTTTGCTAAACCTTTAGAGCTAAAGCCACCGGTGCAAGCCCTTTGGCAATCCTGTCAAATATGACTGCATTTGAATCCGGGAGTGAGCCAGGTGGTGAAAAAGGGCGAGAGGCTTTACCTGCGTGGTCAGAGGCCGAGAAAACGTTGCACACCAACGATGAGCTCGTATTGCCACAGCAGCAGCATCATTCATTTTCATCAAATACAGGGAGGGGATCTGTGTTTCACGAAAAGCCAACTATGAAGACTGGAGTAGTTGGAGAATCTCAGCACGAAACCCAAAGCAGATTATGAGGCTTCTATCCACTATCCAGATAACTGGTCAATATTCATTCAATGCTTATTGGTTATTGGCAATCTACACTATGCAACAAGTCCCGCAATTACGTTCAGTTTTCGTTGTTACGGATCAGACGCCACATCGTCTGCGACCTGACCTTTCTTCCGATCCAGATGGATTGTAATCAACCTGATCTACCCGAAACCCTGTGCCTGCGTGGGTGTGTGTGATAGTTTTGTCTTTCTGATTTACCGTACTTAACATTCCATTCTGGTATTTAGTTTAAGCGTTGTTCTTGTCTGTAAAATGGAGTCGCAACAGCATGCTTCTTTTACCATACCCATCAAAAACCTGTACACATTGGCCTATTTTGCACCTCTTCACCGAACGAGCTTGCGGGATTTACCTTTACTTGATCAATGGGAAGCGAGTGATCTTTGGGTGGAAGTAAATTTTCCTGTTGCAGAATACAAACAATTTTTCTATTGACTTTACCTTTTTGCACAATCATTTGGACATACAATTTTACGTTTACATGTTTGTCGCTCTGAAAAGTAATCTGCACCATCCTAGTGTGTTTTTAACATTACGTATTAGAACAAAACGGCCTGATTAGTTTTGCGATCACTCTGGAGAATACCTTTGTGAATGGATTACGACACGAAATCTCAATTAAGACCACAAATCCATTTAAAGTGGGCTCACATCACTTGAACTTGTGAGGTTGTACACAAGGCAAATACATCTACTGAGTTGTCCTGCAGTATCTCTCCATGGTTGGTTTCGCGTTCAACCGACATGCGCAAATACGCGCGAAACCGATCTTGCAAACTGGTAACACAGTATTTTTCTACTTTAGTTGGTGAGTTAAAAGCGCTATACTTGTGCCCCATCCACATGCCTCTCACTCTTAGTTCTCCGACTCTACCCTGGATGGCGTGTGTGAATGGAGTTGTGGGTGGTGTTGCGCAAGCCACCCATGGTCTCTGTGTAAGCGCAGGCGTCCCGTGAATATCCTATGGAGACCACAATGAAGGGAGAACCTGGACACGGATGCCTTTGTCCAAATGTGCCACTGCTAATACACGACATGAAATGCCGTCGGAGCGGCGTTATAACTTTTTAAGCAACGAAGAAGCAATATTGATTTTGAGAAAAGGAGCCAAACTTCCAGCGTATTATTAGATGTGTAAGTGCTCATGACTGGGTTTTGGTACAAGTGGATCACATAAAGCGCAGGTAACTTTTGAAAGTAACCGAGTGCAACATTCTATCTGCTGATATATATATATATATATATATATATATATATATACCATCCTAGACTAACTTACACTTAAACTAGTTCTTTTTAATGTGGATAAAAGTAGTTACATTTTATTTGGTTTGTTCTGCGTACTTGATAATCTTCTCCCAACTTGCACACGTCGCTCATGCACATTGTGGTAAAGTTGGGTAATTGTATCGCGTGGTATTTTTTAACAAACTCAGACATTTTGGACTTATCACGGATTCACTTATAACCATTTTCTTCTATATGTTCATTTATCGAGTATTTATGTCGTCAAACGCGTTTACTTTATTCGATATTGGCACTTTGTGTGATTGACAGTTGTTTGACATCCCAGATGTGGCTGCGCTTGATGTGCATGTTGAAAAGGTGCCTACCTGTCTATTACCTACTACCTCGTCCATCTGGCTCCAAGAGACAGTTGGTCGTTACAGGAGGGGACGGGGTGCACGTTCCTTGTGGTCGCGCTAGGCTCGAAGAGTGGTTCCATGCACTCAGTGTGGAGCGAGCTACGGTCCAGCCACCGCGTTGTGTGCGGTTGATTCCCCAAATACAGCGTGCTTGTGTTTGCATGTGAAGGAGTGTGGGCCGGCTCCGTTGATGAAACGTGGCTCCCATCCACATGCCTCCCGGTCTTATTCCTTCGGGTTTACACTGGATATGGGGTGTGTGGATGGAGCTGTGGGTGGTGCAGCGCAAGCCATCCATGGTCCCTCTGTAGGCGCAGGCGTCCTGTGGCTTGCCACAGTGACAGGCAAATCCGAAACCGGACACCACCAACCATATATACTATTCCATGGCAGAATTTATACTCCTCTAATTTAATATGCACGTAAGCAGTGTACTCAAATGTTCTGCAGATTTTATTTTAAATAACAAACCACCTTAGATGTAGGAATCAAAGTCAGTTTCATTTATCAAAAACGGAACACCGGAATTTATATTTTCAAATTTTCTCTATTGCTGTGATCCTCCGATTATCGGAGCACTAACATTTACGACGATAAATTTACCAACTTGGTTGTATGGTGCTTTTCATTCAACCAGCAAGTTGACTTTGCCGCTTTTAACACATAATTATGATGGAACATTTGTAACTAGTTGTAAGATCAAGAATTTGACTAATCGCTTGGACATTTGGGAATTAGATCGTTTGTGACATACAGATGGCAGAGGAATTAAACTTCTCTTCCTCGACCAACCAAGCCTGTCGTGTTATTTCAACTATACTTTCATCTACCATAATTTGTTCAGATTTTATAAGTACCCCTTTTGCTTTGGTTTCATATCGGCAGTCGAGAGGCACTAGCTGCGTGATGTGGTTTATACACTTTTAGTCTGTTGTCAGGTCATCTTTCAAGTTGTGGGCAGAAGAGACGTGATTTTCAAGACTTTTGCAATTTCGTTAGACGAAAGAGCAGAATAGCTTGTCAACCTTCCACATAGCTGTATCCGCTGCATATGATTTTTTCTGAATTTGGCGAGGTGAACGCAAGCGTCATTTGGATTATTAAGTACCTGTTGTATTATTATACACATGCCTACCATGTGTCAACAACGGTCGCTAGAAATTCCTAATATCGAAGTGGTGTCGCCATTTTGAGTAACCAGAAACTTAAGGCGTCAACATTTGTGAAATGGATGTGATTAGTCCACACGGAAGCTGTCAGTGTGACAGCTGGCCCACAGAAACATTCAATTTCACATGCAATCCGAGTTAAACGAAGGTCTGGCTTTCGTGCATGTCCAAATGTTACGTTGACCAGATGGTTCGTTGCAGCGTGGAATCCACAGGAAAGCGACATGGACGGGTCAATCTACACAGATTGACAGCCTTGTTTCAGTTTGACAGAAACAGAATCTAGTCTCATACCTTGTCAGAATAGAGATGCAAATATGCTCCGAGGACACAATTAGAGCAGAGGGCGTTGTAGTCAAAAATGGGTTACTTACTAACGGATATCCCGAGACCTTCGTCGTGAGGAATATGCGTACTGAATGTGTGGCCACCAAAGCGCCCACAGTAGGATAAAAACCCGTCGACTTATCGTTGTCAATTAAAGGAGAGTTCTTAGCAAGTGATTAAAAGCGGCCGTCCTTAACACCTATTGGACTGCACAATTACGTATTATATTCTCTTCTACACTCATGCTACCCCGCCAGATGGAGGGTAAACTGTCTGTGGATGTCAAATTTTTTGTTTTTATCTATTTCCCTGTTCCTGTAGGATACGTTTTGTACGTCGCACGAGGAAACGTTTGTCCGAACACGTCTGGGAGCATCACCAGGCTTGGTTAAGCGGAGGTTTGGACCAATTGTTCACCGCTACAATACTCGCGCAAATAGTTTAAACGAATATCCCCTTTGTTATCAATAAGCCATTTGCGCGATCTACCCAATAAATCTGTCCTTTCCAAGCTTTTCAGATACCGCATCGCGATTCGCCTCAACAACCTCCCGTTGTGTGTGCATAAGCAGTTCGTTATGACTGCTTTTTCCACGGCCAGCTAACACCTGGGCATCTTCCGTGTAAACAAATGAGACCCATTCTTCACATTTTGACACCTTATTATTTTACTAAATCCACCCTTTGGGAAACTATGTAAATGTGTTATATTTGGCCTTATGACAAATCACCGGAAACGAGCTCGTTTACCAGCCCATGAACGCGAGTGTTGTTAACAGATGCCGCAAACAGCGTTGCATTTTTACGCATGATGCACCTGAGTGATCGAGGGTCGTTTTTAATAGGTATGCAAACGGTATGTCTGAATTCTGCAACACCGAAATTTGAAATCCGCCAAAACCGAATACATGCATTACGCTTAATATACATAATTCTACAGCGGTAGCAGGCAAACGGAGGCTAGACTAGCTGGCGTATAGCCAACGTAGTATCTCGATTGTTCGCCAGAGCTCATAAATGTATAATCATGACAATTGTTTGCCAGTATACCTTGATGAACACCTGTGCTGAGGGTGTCCACAAGTGTGACTTTCAATATATATCACACGTCTTTCAGCAGCAAACGGACTGATGTGTGAGCTCGGTGTTCATGTTCCTTAGGCTTAAATGCTAGATTCATCTGGAGCATATCACTTCTGAAAATAGAATATTCAGTAAACCTCGTACTGTTAAAAACGGCTCAGTTGGGAACAAATTCCAGGTGATACCAGAAATAATAACTGGCGAACAAGCGTGTCTACCGTGATTCATCAGCATGCCAGTGCAGCCACAACCGAAGGCTTTATGACAGACACCTGAGTTAGGTCATTGGATAAGGATGTTCAATCCATGCAGCTACGCGACCCGTGTGTGTTCAAACTGAACTTGGAATGCGGCCTGATGACCAGAGAGTAACCTGGTGGCCCATAGAAAAGGTAAGTCGAGAGTCGAAACAAAATTGTTTAGACACTAGTCCGAGTTTTGCGACTGGATATATATGTCTTTTGCTGTCAGCATCTGGTGCTCATATGCGCTGCCTTTAAGGTGTCACATAATTTGACTTCGTGATTACAATCCGCCAAATTCGGTGACATATCGCAGTTTTCCGCACTCCATTACACAGCCATGATGAACGAGCTTTACGGTCCACTGATTGTCTTCCCAAGATTTCGCACTTGACACAGAAGTAAAAACGCACACACCCAAAAGAACGCCTGCAACCTTAATAACTTGTAATCTAGGTGCTGTAGTTAATTGGCGTGGATGCGGAATTTACGCGGCCTGTAATTCTACTTCGCCAGAATAGGATGGACTTTGTATACGCCGAATAAAAACTCAGTGTGAGGAAGCGTGCATGGTGTCTTACCAGATATCTTTCCTTTAAACTGAAAAGTTGTTAGGTGGCACCCTGGATACTAGCTGGTAAGAGACGTGTCAGATACGGTAGGGTATAGAAAATGGAGGCGACTGAACCCAACCTATATTTTGCAAGCTATAAACATAGGAAGCGAATCAACCAGAACGAGAAACGGTGTAGCAAATTACTCACCAAAACGGTTTTGTCAGCAGAAGTGCCCTCAGTGAAACAACTGGAGTTTTTGAAGGTTAAAACAACGGTACAATCCAATGTTGCAAAATACTGAAAGGACGTTTTCCGGTCTATTACAAGGGCCTCACTCTAGAAGGTTGAAGGATAGAAACCTTCGATGGATC